GGCAGAGGCCCCAACCCACTGAGCCACCCAGGCGCCCCTCAAATAAAATCTTTTAAATAAATAAATAAATAATATTTGGAGAACAAGGATGAGTCTTAAAAATGGAAAACATGAAAGCCAAAATGTAAGATTCAGTACCAGGCTTGGAAGATGAAGGTGAAAACATTCATTCATTCTGCAGATATGATCGAGTGGCTCCCATGTCCTTTGTATTGTTCTAGGCAGTGGAGTTTCATCAGTGAGTAAAAGAGACAAAGAGCCCTTGGCCTGTTAGAGCTGAAATGCCAGCAGGAGGAGAGCGTAAACAATGCAGTAACGTATGGGTTTCATGCTGTGTTGTAGCGTGGAGTGCTAGAGGCAGGAATAACGCTAGAGCATGGTAGGAAGCACGGAGAGCGCCAGGTGGGAAAGATGGAGACAAGCTGAATTGTAAATGGGAAGGTCAGGGCCAGTCTCATTGGGAAGGGCACAGAGAGCAGGACGCAGAGAGAGGGTGAAGAAGTGGGCCATGTGACATCCGGGGAGGGAGATCGTTCTAGGCAGAGGGAGCATCCCCAAGTCCAGAGGGGGCTGGAGTCATCGGGGGAGGTAACTGCCCCAGAGAACATGGGCCTTTGTGGCTTAGTGCGGGGGCTCTGGCTGTCACTCAGGAAACTGGAGAGCAGTGGCAAAGTTTCAAGCAGAGAAGTGACATGATCTGATTTCAGCTTTAAAAGGATCACTCTGGCCACTGTGTTGGTGGAACTGACACCCCTGAAGGGGGTGAAAGTATCCAAGAGAGCAGTTGGACTCTCTCAGTGCTCTCTGATGTTCTCTCTTTGTCCCTTGGCTGTTCCCTCTGAGTCAGCCTCTCTGTTTGCCTCCCTTCTTTCTTCTTCCTAAGAAACAATGTGCTGGCCCTCTCCTCTGTCAGTCTACCCTCTGCTTTATAGCTCCTGCTTAACTGTCCCTCCCAGATCCTACTGGGTGGCCTTCAGCGTCCTCTCTCTTACATCATACCCTAAAACACATAATATCTGGTTAGTTCCTCTTTAATGTTAATATTGTTTTAATAAGGGCCCCTTTGGCTCCCTTGTTTTTTGGTTGAGCCTCTCTGACCTATGCATATAATTATTAAACATTTGCTGTTGAATGTAACATTTAACTCTCTGTTTTCTGACCTCCCATCATCAGGCAAAGTCCTCCATAGACATGTACTTTATATGACTCTTGAGAAACCCAGCAGTTTAAGCTGCTTTAAATAAAAAGGGAAGTGGAAAATCTGTCTTATACCTTAAATTCCAACCTGCAGACCCTTGATGGGAAAATCAAGAACAACCCTCCCCCACACAGGCTCACCAACTCCTGGGAACATACCTCCTTAAACCAAATATGCTTAGATTACAAGGAAAAATACATCAATATTTTTTTTTTTGCATGCAGTCATTTTCCTCTGTAGTTTTTCAATGTTTTTTTCCTGATGTTAAAAAATTAAAGCCTGAGGGACGTCTGACAAAACTGATAATGTAACTGCCAGGCTCACAAAAGTTCCTTTCCCCAAATTTGCTGAAATTAACAAAAATGTAAAAATGACAACAGAGAACCCATGAACCCTGAAACCAAGAAAAGAATCCCAACTTCATACCATAAAATGAGGTGTCACCCAGAAAAAGAAAAATTGGAGCAAATTGAACAAAGGTGCTAAAAAAAAAATCAGTATATTCTTCAAAGAGAAGAATGGAATGTGGAGCCATACAAGGAGGGAATTCTGAGAAGTCTCATTGCTTTTGATGGTGTTGGCATCAAGTATAAAGGTATGCGGGGGGGGGGGGGGGCGGTGGAATTGCCCACACCTCCAGCAGGAACCCTTTCTTCCATCAAGAACACACTTTGCCGCAGGCAAGAGGAGTCAAGAAGGTTTACCGTCTTTCCTGCCTCTGACATATCAATAAGTAGGCAAGGAGTAGGGGAAGCATCTGCTAAGAATAATAGAGCCAAATCAGGAAAGAGCTCCTCAAGACATGGGGAAAAAATACCTGTCCTCATCCAAGCCAGAAGACTGCAAGACCCCCCAGACTCAGTGAAGCACACGTCTGGTACATTTCTTCATTATTAAGGAGGGAGCATGATGGTATCCACTGAAAGCCCCAGCTCGCTTGTCATTCCTCTTAAGCAATGGAGAGACCAGATAAAGCATATACATCATGGACATCCCGTCCATATGAGAGGTGGAAGAATGAAACAATATCTAGTCCAGCACTGTCTGGGGGCAATTAGTCGGCTGAGAACGAATGGCTTACACTCCTTAAAGAGTTTCCAGGGGTGCCTGGGTGGCTTAGTCAGTTAAGCATCTGACTGTCGATTTCAGCTCAGGTCACGATCTCAGGGTCATGAGATCAAGCCCATCAGGCTCCCTACTAAGTGGGAAATCTGTTTGTCTCCCTCTCCCTCTGCCCCTCTCTCCACTCACACGCTCTCTCTCCCCACCCCCAAAATAAATAAGCAAATCTTTAAAAAAATACCTGCACATAAGGGCACCTGGGTGGCTCAGTCGGTTGAGCATTGGGCTCTTGGTTCAGCTCAGGTCATGATCTCAGGGTCCCGAGATCGAGCCCCACCTTGGGCTCTGTGCTCAGTGGGCAGTCTGCTTGAGATTTTCTCCCTCCCTCTCCTGCATCTCCCCACCTCCCCCCAAGTACATGCACATACGCTCTCTCTCTCTCTCAAATAAATCTTTTTTAAAAGTTAAACATAAAAACCTACTCCTTAACAAACCCTTACTTATAAAATGCCCCCCAAAATTACTGAAGACTTAAACCAAAAGCATTTTAATGAGAAATTCTGTGAACCCTCCTTGAAAATTAAGGATCAATTTTCTATACAGGTATGGCTCCAGGGAGTCTTAATTTCCTTCCTCTTCAAAAATAGAGGAAAGCAACAAACAGTATGAAACTTTAAGAACGTGTTTTGTTTAAGAAATTGAATCACAGACTTCCACCCTGTAATTGTATTCTGTCGTCTTTTTTTTTTCAAGATGCTAAAGAAGGGACCTTTATTTTAGCTCTCGGGAGGAGGCGTAACAAAGCCATCTGCATGATGGATTTGGCGACCGGGAAGAGACCATTTTGGCTAAAAAGGGTTGCTGTACTGACGCCACATCCAGAAACAAGTTCTCATTGCCTCACAGTTTTTATATATTCTGGATCAAGGCAAGCTCTAGGTTCCCATTGCAAACTGCTCATGTGTCACGTTTCCCTCACATAGCGTGGTTTTCCTTGACTTTGTTAGTTCCTCTTTAGGGTCCCTTGGTGACCTCCTCCTGCATCCTGAGCAAACAGATCTGTCCTTGCGGTGCAGCAGGTGGAAAAAAGGAGCACATCACAAGCCCGTGATGCCAGCTTAGGAGTCTGCATAAAGAAACACCTAAAATGATGGAGTAAAAGAGGCCTTGCACCAGCTTTTCTGAGAAATTGGTGGCACAGGTGGAGATTTAAGAGGAAATGCAAGAAACCCAAGGGAGGCTGGAGCTTTTACTGTGGGCTTTGAAACAGAGGTGGAAAATCTTGGTCCCGGGAGACCAGAGACAGGGAAGGAGCTTAATACCAGCACCCCAAGAAGTGGGACTGGTGGGGCACCTGGGTGGCTCAGTGGGTTAAGCCACTGCCTTCGGCTCAGGTCATGATCTCAGGGTCCTGGGATCGAGTTCCGCATTGGGCTCTCTGCTCAGCAGGGAGCCTGCTTCCCTCTCTCTCTCTCTGCCTGCCTCTCTGCCTACTTGTGATCTCTTTGTCAAATAAATAAATAAAAATCTTTAAAAAAAAAAAAAAAAGAAGAAGAAGGAGAAGGAGAAGTGGGACTGGCTATCTAAGTAGCCACAGTAAATATCAACCGGAACATGATGGTGGGGGTGTCCAAGGAGTTTGTTGAAGAAAGCAGAGCAAGTAATTTGGGGTCTTGGAGATCTGAGTGGCAGAAAGGAAGAGAAGGGGGTGCCTGGGTGGCTCGGTGGGTTAAGCCTCTGCGTTCGGCTCAGGTCATGGTCTCAGGGTCCTGGGATGGAGCCCAGCATTGGGCTTCTTGCTCAGTGGGGAGCCTGCTTCTCCCTCTCCCTGCCTGCCTCTCTGCCTACTTGTGATCGCTCTCTGTCAAATAAATAAATAAAATTTTAAAAAGAAAAAGTAAGAGAAGGGGGTCTATGCTGGAAATACTGTAGGAGAAAGAGTATGTTGTGGCGGTGGATGACACGTGTAGGGGAGGAGCCAAGAATGAAGTGAAGATTATACCAAATGTCTTTTTACTCGAGAGATTGAGAAGTACAGGAATCTGGGCAGAGGATCCTGAAGGAGAAGTATAAGTAAGTATCTCTGACTTCACCGTGCCTGGGTACAGCTGGCACAGAGACATTTATATACTGTCTGATTGATTTCTGAGCTCCGAAACAAAGTAAACAAAGATTCGTGTGCTGTTTGTCTTCGTCTGTGTCCCCCTTTCCCCCGGATTACATCTGAGTTTGGGGGGAGTTTACCCAGCACCTGGGGAAGGGGACTGCACAGCTTGTATATAAGTCTGCCTGTGAATCCAATGGGACGGTCCAGCGGCGGCCCGTGGTGTAATTGTGTAAAGCCAGATTTCATTCAAGAACTGTAGATGTTGATGTAGACCTTGGTTCTGCCTCGTCTTGCTTTCTCTCCATGCTCTTCACACACTTCCGCAGAGACGTTTGCATTTTGGCTTTCCTCTCTTCATGACCCTTAAAAGTTCAAACACACTGCTTCTGAGGCAGCACACATCCCGCTGCCAGTGGGAACAGCGAGACCACGGAAGCAAATGCCAGCGTGACTCCTGGCGCCATCTGTTGGTGGCAGGTGGAATAGACGTGCTTTGTTGACCTCCTGCACGATCCCCTCCCCACCCCCCCCCCTTGGTAGTTTGTAAGCAGAGGATCTTACACAAGTTCAAAGTCATATACCACTGACTCAGCCAGCTGGCAACACTTGTCTTTTTCTTCCTCTGGTGTGAAGGTGTGGCGAGGCACGCTGGCCCGCATGCGGTACAAGAGAACCAAGGCAGCTCTGACAATTATCCGGTACTACCGGCGTTACAAAGTGAAGTCGTACATTCATGAGGTTGCCAGACGCTTCCACGGCGTCAAGACCATGAAGGACCACGGCAAGCACGTGAAGTGGCCAACCCCACCTAAAGTTCTCCGCCGTTTCGAGGAGGCCTTACAGGCCATTTTTAATAGGTAAGAAAGGGCCTGTTGGTATGTGTTACTCCCATTACGGAACACCCCTCACGTCTAAAGCCCCAGATCTGAGGCCGTGCTATGGGCTCGGCCGTTTACGTTTGCAGGACACCTCCTGCCTGAGGTCTTCAGCTCTGTAGATTCCACTCTCGGGGCATCTGTGTACTGCTCAGAACAACGGGACTGTGCTTTTTCTTCTCCCTCTAGCTGTGGAGAGCCGTGCGCCACCAAGCCTGGATCATGCCACAGTTAAGATAAGCTATTAGCACGCTGTCTCCTTCTCTTATTAGCAAATAATAACTACTTATTACAGTCACCACCCGTAACTCCAGCTGGAAAGGGTGTTAATGCTTTTGGGGCAGCACTTCTTGATCCTGGTTATGAAACCTGCCAAGCGTACCGAGGCCACATCCTGCCTCCAGAAAGTTCTGTGTAACAGAACCAGGGAGTTGGGCCCAAACAGAGGTCCTTTCTAAAATTTCCCAGATGATTTTTGTTTGTTTAAGATTTATTTATTTGAAGGAGAGAGCGAGAGCACACAAGCAGAAGGGGCAGAGGGAGAGAGGGAGAATCAAGCAGACTCGACACTGAGCACAGAGCCCTGCATCGGGCTCGATCTCATGACCCCAAGATCACAACCTAAAGCTGAAACCAAGAGTTGGATGCTTAACTGACTGTGCCACCCAGGTCCCCCCCAGATGACTTTAAAGTATGAGAGGGAAAATGATTTATTTTAGAGCAACCTTTTTTTTAAACACAAATAGATAAAAACCTTTGTAAAATCTGATATCTGTCCAGCTGATCTCATTTTTCATAAAGTGCCCTGAATCTGAATCTGTAGCGATCCATAGCCCCTTCCCCCTCCTTACTGCTGCTTGTTTGTTGCTGGTGCACACCAGATACATTTAGCTGTGCCTTAGGTACATAAAGTGAGCTAAGGGTTCTCAAATGTGGCCATTTGGCTGTGTGGTCTTCCACAAACAGCACTATGAAATAATTGGCATACGGAATATAAAAGAACTAATTTATAATTCTGTGCTAAATAAGATTTTGTCTTCCTTTAGAGTTAGCTCTGTGTAATTGGTGGCAGATATCAAAAGATAAAAATGCATAGAAATAAAATTCTTTAGGGCGCCTGGGTGGCTCAGTGGGTTAAGCCTCTGCCTTCGGCTCAGGTCATGATCTCAGGGTCCTGGGATCGAGTCCCGCATCGGGCTTTCTGCTCAGCAGAGAGCCTGCTTCCCCCTTTCTCTCTGCCTGCCTCTCTGCCTACTTGTGATTTCACTCTCTGTGTGTCTAATAAATAAATAAAATCTTTAAAAAAAAAAAAAAAAAAAAAAAGGAAATAAAATTCTTTAATCTATACCCCATTTGGCTTTTTGTAAAAAAAAAAAAAAAAAAGAAAAATGATATCTAATAAAAATAAAAGCTCAAGAAGGAATCATTGAAAGCAAAATTACCTCAGTTCTCAGCTCTAATACTATAAATGTTCATTGTATGCTGTCAGGCATTTAATGCACAGGTAAGTGTTTTTCATGAATGGTATCATCTGTAACCTGAATTTCAACTTAATTTAAAAAGTGATTAAGCTATGCCTGAATATATATGCTCATTGTGGTTTTTTTTTTAAAGTGAAATAATATAGAAATGTAGAAGATATAAAGTTGAAATCCTCCTCAACTCCTCTTGTCTCCCCCATTTTATTTCCTTCCCCTGGGATAATCCCTCATTAACAATTAGTTTGTATCCTTCTTTGCCTGCTTCTGTGCATTTCCAAGCACACACCCACATGGAAGAGACAGCATGGTATAGTGGTTAGGAGCACAGATCCCGGGAGCCTGGGTTTACAGTCTAACTCTGCTGATGCCTGGTTGTGTAACCTTGGGCACATTAGATAATCTGTCTGAGCTTCGGTTACCATATCCATAAAGTGCTCTAACAGTAGTACCTGTTCGTAGGGTTGTTGGAAAGATTATGAGTAAATGTATATATAAAGTATTTCAGATTGTGCTTGACACGTAATAAACACTGTAGAAATGTTGGCTCATACTCAGAGTGTATGTGCGCACAGTCCCCAGTCACAGATCATCTGGGCTCTTTTTCCTCTCTTTTTCACACAAGCAGGGTTATAGGACAACTTAAAAATGTTCTGGAGACCTGTCTATGACAGTAAGGAAAGATCCGTGTAGTACTTTTAACAGCCACAAAGCATTATTGATTTTGTGTTGCACTGCAGCCTGTGTGGGCTTCTTTTTAGATTCTGATGGTTTTGTAGATGGCCTAGAATTGATGAATTTTTGCAAAATTCCATTTATTCATTCAGCACTTCCCTCAAGGCCAGCTGTGTCGTGGGCACTGGCCTGGGTTCCAGAGAGATGGTGACAGACAAGAAGGTGGGAAGACGGTTCAGCCTTCTCAGGGCTTCAGGTGTCTGAGCATTTTGAAAATAATGCGTCTGCTCTGCCAGCTGACTTTGCACACACGTGTGTATACACACACACATGCACACGTGCACATGCACCGTGAAGGAGCCCTGCCACTTGTGTTAATCTCATCCAAAGGCAAACTTTTTCTGTGAAGGGCCGGGTAATAAACATCACAGGCTTTATGGGCTGCGTATGATCTTTGTCACATACTTTGTTTTGCTCTGGTTTTGTCAAACGTGTAAAAAGCTATTCCTAGCTTGTGAGCAGCGCAAAACCAGGCCATGGGCTGAATTTGGCACAGACTGTGGTTTACCAACCCCTGATAGAGTCACTGTTTCCTACTTGATTACTCTCCCCTTTTGTGATCTGTGCACTACTGAGAGAAGTGCGCTAAAGAACTCCACCGTGATTGTGGGCTTGTGTTTTTGGGGGGTTTTCTGATTTTTCTAAAATCTCAACATTAATCATGGTTAAGCTCACTCCTATTCCTCACAGTAATTCTTTTTCCTTCTGGGAAGGCTGGGAGCCTTCCTCATGCTCAGCTTTGTCCCCCTGTTCATGGGGTCGAGGCGGGTGATTTTTAGGCCGCCATAGAGATGGTGTTGGGGACTATAGGCGTTTCTAGAGGGTGGTTTCCTTGAGCAGGGTGAGGAATCTGGCTGGCTCTCTTTGTGGTTATATAGGCCAGTTCCCAGGTGCCCCGTGTGCCTCTGCACTCTGCAGTCAGTCAGGGATGGACCTTGTCCTGGGCCACAGTGGGCAGTAAAGAAGGGACAGATGGACTAGACACCGAGGCTGAAAACACCAGCAGACAGCAAAGACTGCCTCTGCCTCCCTCCGGGGAATAAAATTTCAGACCCAAGGACGAACTGCAAGCCACTTAGTGTTGTGGGATGTACCTGTCACCAGTGACCTTGGCGATGACCCCCCAGCTGCTCCCAGCCTGTCATTCTTCCAGCATCTTCTAGAATGACCTTAGGACAGTCTATCCCATTGCAGTGTCCATTGGCCACGGAAACCAGAGAGGAGAATTTCGCTGGCTGAGCCTTTCCTTTTTCCAAGGCTACTTTTATTGTATCCTGCTACCTCTGATGCTCCCCCACAGCAGGGGCCCCATCTCACCCCATCTCACCATGGGCAGGCATTCTTTGTGCAAAGAGATGGCACCTCTCCCGCTGTGAGATCCTTCACTGCCTGCCCAAGCATTCTCCGGGCCGTTTCTGGCAAAGGGGTTCCTCTCCTTCCACCAAGTGGACGGCTCAGCTCTGAGCCACTCCTCCCACGGCTTGGTCTAGTCTACGTCAAATCTCCAAGAAAGTCTTCCCATCTTGCAGTTCACTGACATCCTTCCCGTTCTCCAGAGCTGCTACAGAGCTTTTCCTTCTTTGTATATTTATTTGGTTGTTGCGGTGGGAGTTTCGGAGAGAAAAGCAAACCTTTCAGCTCAAGTCACTGTCTTGAAGCCAGAATCCATCTCAGGAAAATCTTAGATGGAGGCAGTCTCACATTCTGCGCACGTCCCTGGGGGAGGGAGCACCTCTCCGTGTTAGGTGTCCCTTGGCCTCGTGCTCTGTGGAAGACAGCTAGGGGACCACCGGTCTTGATGATTCTGTCTGCTGTGAAGAAGCTCTGGGTTTGTTTCCAGCCACTGCTTCACGCTCCTGTGGCAGAAAGCAAGATGGGAGTTCAAGTAAGTCCGGGACAGAATAAAAGCTGTGTGCTTGCTTTCCTCGATCAGGGATAGATTATTTTCAGTGTGTGCTTTCAGTTCCTTGGACCCAACAGTCTTGGGGTCGTCTTTAAATTCCCCCTTATTCTCTTGCTCCCATATCGAATCCATCAGTAAATCCACTGGTGTGTCCTTCAAAATGCATCCAGGACTAGCACTTGTCTCTGCCTCCACCACTCTCTACCAGATCCCAGCCACCGACCTCTCCCACGTGCCTTGTGGAAATAACCTCGTACCCCCTCCAGCCTTCTTCCACACAACAGTGCCCATCCCCTGCTCCTCCTACCACCTCCCTCCTGTCCTTTCCTCGCCAGATTTTTTTCTCCATAGCCCTGAGCACATCACACATTCTTGTTGGTTCACTGTCCATCCCTGCTTCAGGAAGGTAAGCACCTAGCAGAAAAGACCTCGATCCCTTTGTTGGATCCCTCGATCCAATGCCCAGAATAGTCTCTCGAGTTTAGTAAGTGCCTAGAAAGGGTTCAGTGAGTACCTCAGTGTTGAATGAAGAAAGGAATTTCTGTGCCCTGACTATAAATGTCATGAGAAAACCCATGTGTCATGAAGTTCTAGTTGCTTTCAAAACACACAAATGACAAAGCAAATTATACAAAGATCTTTGTCTAAAGAACTATGTGTATTTTATAAGTCAAGCAGAGAAAGTCAATTATCATATGGTTTCACTTATTTGTGGAGCATAACAAATAACATGGAGGACATAGGGAGATGAAGAGGAGAAGGGAGTTGAGGGAGATTGGAAAGGGAGGTGAACCATGAGAGACTATGGACTCTGAAAAACAACCTGAGGGTTTTGAAGGGGCAGGGGGTGGGAGGTCGGGGGAGCCAGGTGGTGAGTATTAGGGAGGGCATGTATTGCATGGAGCACTGGGTGTGGTGCAAAAACAATGAATTCTGTTACGCTGAAAAGAAATTTAAAAAAAATAAAAAATAAAGAACTATGTGTATTTTAACAAGTTCTGTGTATATTTTGGAGACCTTTCTTTTCCTTGTTTTTAGGGTATCCTTGCAAGTACTCTGGTTTAAATTCTGCTTAATGGCAGCCCGGTTATTTGGGGGCACGAATGGGATTGGGTTTCTAAATCCTAAAACATTTCACTTATTCGCTTCCAGGTGGAGAGCATCCGAGCTCATCAAGAGCCTGCCTGCTTCAGACCTGCCCCAGGTCAGGGCCAAGGTTGCAGCCATGGAAATGCTGAAAGGTCAGAGGGCTGACCTTGGGCTCCAGAGAGCCTGGGAGGGCAACTATCTTGCTTCGGTACGTACGGGACAGCAAACCAGAATCTGATCCTCCCTTTACCGAGAAAGGGAAGAAATTTTCTCCAAAACTTCATGGGAAGAACAAGACCCCTACAGAAACTAAACTGCTATGGCGATACTGAACTGAAAGATTTTGTTGCTTCTAACTGTGTGGTGTTTGATGTTTCCCTTGCTTTAAAAAGGGCTGTCTACCGCTCCGCTCCATACGTACGTGGCACACTCCAAAATCACTTTTTGAGCATTTGAACCTTCCCTTGCATAATTCAGCAGCTGTTTTTAATTACCACCTTTATATTAATTATTCCCAGAGCTGCATTTCATCCTCCTTCCCATTCTGTATTTTAAAAGGTTTATAGGCCCTTCAGTGGCATTAACACCCCTGTGGCAGCTGGGCAGCTGGGATGGGAGATAAAAGTAAGCATGCTGAGAACGGTCTGAGCAGGGTGGGAAAGCCAGGCCACGGAGAGATTGCCTTTTCCTCCAAAATGCTAAGCAGATTCTTTTCATCACTTTCCCCCTTTTCTTTCAGAAGTCAGACACACCTCAGACCTCAGGCACTTTTGTCCCCGTCGCAAACGAGCTGAAACGGAAGGACAAATACATGAATATCCTCTTTTCCTGTCACGTCCGTAAGGTGAGGTGGGCTGGGGCAGCCCCCCTTCCAGGGGAGACGGGGTTGGGTTCAGAGGCCCTTACATCGCTGTGACGGCAGTAAAACTGGACCGCAGCTACAGCCCCAGCTCTGCTGACACTGAGTGCCACCCGCCCGTGCTGGGGCCAGGGTGCAGTGGCCAAGGTGACTGTGGCTGCAGGGGGTAGGAAGTGGACGTATTTGGTTTTGGGGGGCTCCCAAAACTTTATGGGAGCCCCCCCAAACTTTATGGCTCACCTGTCTTTTCCCAGCACGTACTGGTCTGCCTTGTAGCCCACGGTCATTCAGTACTTCTTGTACATGTTTGATCGCTATTTTAAAGGTGGGGAAGGAGGGAGGAAGAACAGAGTCTAGAAAAGGGAGGACAGAGAATTTGGGTGGGGGGGAGGGCGAGTTACACATGCTGTGAATCTAGTCGTTGTTTATCTGAGGCAAGACGTGTGTGTGGACTGTTACTTGCCTGCAGATGATGTCCATGGGGCTAGTGAAGTGTGGAAGTCGGAGAGGGGAAGGCGGGAGACTTGGTCGGTTTTTCAAAACTTCAAAATGCTTTTCACAAAATAGAGAGGAAGTTGCGATGATTAATTTTTTAAAAAGCATTTTGTGAAAATTAGGCAGATAAATTTCCAAATATTAATGAAACGGCTGAATTTCTGGGGTGCCCGAGTGGCTCAGTTGGTTAAGCATCCAACTCTTGATTTCAGCTCAGGTCATGATCTAAGGGTCCTGGGATCGAGCCCCGCATTGGGCTCCACACTCAGTGGGGAATCTGCTTGGCATTCTCTCTCCCCCTCCCTCTCCCCCTCCTGCTCTCTCTGTCTTTCTCTCACTCTAAGATAAATACATAAATCTTTTAAAAAATTTCCTAGATTGACCCCAGAAGAAATATTGACATAAATATGCCAGTATCCAAAGTAGGAATGAAGAAAATGATAAAAGATTTACCTCATAACAAAAGCCCAAGTGTGGGTAACTTGGGGTATTTTGTTTCAAATATTGAAAAAGTACACAATTGCTGTATTATTCAGATCAAAATAATGAAATATTTTTCCACTGTAATCGGCAAACTTTAACACATTGATAACCAGTGTTTGGACGAAATTTAGGGAAATGCTGTTGGTAAGATACACTCCTTTTGAGTGAACAGTTTGGCAAGAGCTACCAAAATTTTAAATGCCCAGACCACTTGATCTAGGAATTCCAGAACTCAGGATTTATCCTACGATATATTCACACATACATCCAAAGATGTAGTTTTGTACATTGTAATTGCCAAAAAACTGGGAAAAAAATACCACTAATATATGATGAGATTAGTAGATAATTGTGTTTGTGCCCAGTAAAATACAACATAGCTATACAATGAGCAAAAGGAGGAAATATGTTAAAAAAATAAAAACGAAAAGGACAGAATCTATGAAACAATGGTTCTTCGGTCACTGCACATCAAGATATGAGAAACAGACAAGTGAGCCCTACAGGCAGCTGATTGACTTCCTGGAGAAACATTCTAGTCTCTGGTGGGATTGGGGGAGCCCAGGTGGAGCTTAATGGACTCCCTGACAGAAACAAGAGGGCTGTGCCGGGAGACACTAGGGCAGCTAGAGTTTGCAGAAGAGAGTGCCAGAGAAGAGCAAGCAGCACAGAGAGTATGGAGAGACCTCTGGATAGCCTCAAGGGGTCCGCAACAGGTATTTGCCTGAGCTGAGCATGACTCAGCATGTGCGTGTGAGGAAACTGCCCAAGGCTAGCGCAAGAACCACCCCAGAGGGTAGGCGGCAACCAGAACCAAGTACTCACAGGTAGTACCTGCTCCCACCAGCCATGGGAAACACTCGTGATTCGTGGGATGCTTGGTAGATTATGGACAGTACAGGTCATGGGGAGGAATTAGCCCTTGACTAAACACTGCCCTAATCCCACCCAGCAAATCTTGACAACATGACTCGAAAGAATCAGACTCTTTCCAAGCAACCTAACCGTGTCCCAGAACAGTGTTCAAAGATACGCCCAAGAATATGAACTCACCAGCACCCAAAAGAGAAGATTCAGAATGCATGACATTGGATCCAAAATTACCAGGCCTACAAAAGCAGCAGGAGACTCTAACCTATAATGAGAAGAGAAGTCAGTCATTCAAAAGGATCCAGGACTGACGTAGATTATAGAATTGAAAGACAAGGTCACTAAAATAATTGTTATGTGTATGTTATGGATAGAGATGGAAAACACAGCGTCTCAGATTTTTTTAAATATACTTGATGAGATTAAAAGCAGTTTAGATGCTGCAGAAGAAAAATTAGTAAACTTGAAGAAAGAACAATAAAACTGCCTCGAATAAAACACACAGAGCAAGGAGGGGAAGATGCAACCACTCTAAAAAAAGAAGAGCAAAATATTGGGGCCCTGTGAGCCAATGTCCGGTAGCCTAATATATGGGCATGTGGAGGGAAGAGAAGGGGGTAATTCAAAATATTTGAAAAAATAATGGCTGAAATTTTTCCAAATTCAATGAAAACTGCAAACTCTTAGACCCAAGGAACTCAACAAACCTCAAACACGAGAGACAGGAAGAACACCATACGGAGGCACAACGTGATCAAATCCCTTAAATGCAGCAGTAAAGAAAAAAACACAGAGGAGAAAGGTGAGAATGCATCAGATTTCTTGTCAGAAACAGGGCAAGCAAGAAGACAGTGGGGGAACAGCTTTAAAACTTCTTTTACTGAAGGAAAAGAACAGCTGTCAACCTACAATTCTGCACCCAGCAAATATAGCTTTTAAAAACCAAAGCGAAATAAAGACGTCTTTGAGCATATCCAAAAATACGCACTACAGGAAATGCTAGAGAATGGCCTTCAGACGGAAGGAAAGTGGTTCCAGATGGTAATGTGGGCATAACCAAGGAATGAGGAGCAAGGAGAATGGTGGCCTCATGTATAAGTACATAATATTTTTCTTATTATTTAAATCTCTCAAAACGATAATTGAGTACGCCAACACTCATAGCAGCGTTCACGGTAGTTAAAGATGGAAACAACCCAAATGTCCATGGACAGATGAATAAAGAAGACATATATCTGGGGTACCTGGGTTGTTCACTCAGTTAAAGCATGTGACTCTTGATTTCAGCTCAGGTTGTGAGCTTAGGGTCATGAGGTGGAGCCCCCCGTCAGGCTCTGTGCTAGGTTTGGAGCCTGGTTGGGATTCTTGGAAGGAAGGGAGGGAGGGAGGAAGGAAAAGGAAGGGAGAAAGGAAGGAAAAAGAAAAAAAGAAAGAAAGAGGGAGGGAAGGAAGGAAGGAAGGAAGGAAGGAGAGAGGGAGGAAGGGAAAGAAGGAAGAAAGGAAGGGAGGGAGAGAGAGAAAGAAAGGAAGGGAAGGAAGGAAGGAAGGGAAGAAGAAAGGAAAGGAAGGAAGAACATGTGTATCCAGGCAATGGGATACTTATTAAGCATAAAGAGGAAGGAAGTACATGCCTACAGCATGGATGACCTTGAAGATATCGTCTAGGTGAATAAGACACAAAGACAAATACTGTGTGATTCCACTTACATGAAGATTCCACTACATTAGTCCATTAACGGAGAAAGAGCATAGAATGTTGGTGACCAGGGGCAGGGGTATTCAAACATTCTAAGGAAGAGGAGATCACCTCTATATAATGTAGACTAACTAAATAGAGAGTAGCTTTAAAAAAAAAAAAATCTGAAGTAGGAAAGCTTGCTGGCAGTTGGGTGGTTAACCAAGTGGAGTCTAATTCTGAACTCATAGATCCAGAAGCTCTTTTATAAGCAGACCTGGAGGTGATCAGATCATCAAGAGTGGCTCTTGTGGGCCAGAATCAGACATAAAACAGTGTATGAGCCGCAGTGTCAATGTGTGAATTCCACAAAGGAATATACCATGCTAGTGGACTCTCATATCTACTCTCTAGGGTACTTCCTTTCTAGTATCAAGCTATGTGAGAAGTCAGGTTAATAATCAGAACAATCGAAGAGTGTCGAGTGGTTTTGAGAATTATGTCATCTGCTTTGGAAAAGACTGGTGTCTCTGATTCTGTCTTTCCAGTGATGACAATGTGATGCCTGACCGCATGTCTCTCCCTGGGTCCTGCTGGATAAAGGCCGAAAATTCTTAGTCATGCTCCTATGCTTCCAAAGTCAATAAGAAATAATATTTCTTCACACTATAGCTTAGTTTTTTTTTAATTTGAGTATAGTTGACACATAATGTTACATTAAAATACAACGTAGTGATTCAGCAACTCTATACATTACACTGTGCTCACTGATGACAGCTACAACCTGTCACCGTACCACACTATTACAACATCGTTGACTCTATTTCCTATGTCGTCCCTTTTATTCCCACGACGACTTCTCTCCATAACTGGAAGCCTGTTTCTCCCACGCCCCTCCGTCCCTTCCCTCTGGCAACCATGAGTTTGGGTTTTTTTCTCTGCATTGACAGGTCCAATTCTGCTTTTTGTGTATTTATTTGCTGTTTTTTAAATCCCACATATGAGTGAGATCATCGGCAGTTGTCTTTCTCAGTCTGACTTATCTCACGTTGCGTAATACCCTCTGCGTTCATCTATGTTGTTGCAAATGGCAAGATCTCATTGTTTTTATGGCTGTGTGTTGTTCTGTGTGTGTGTGTGTGTGTGTGTATAACACATCTTCCTTATCTGTTTATTGATGGACACTTAAATTGCTTCCGTACTTTGATTGTTGTAAATAATACTACAATAAACATAAGGGTGCAAATATCTTTTTAAATTTCCTTTGCGTAAATACCCACCCAGTAGTAGAATTATTGGACCATATGGTATTTCTATTTTTAATTTTTTGAGGCACATACTGTTTTCCGCAGTGGCTGCACCAAATTACATTCCCTCCAACAGTGCGTGAGGGTTCCTTCTTCTCCACATCCTCACCAGTACTTGTTTTTTCTTGTCTTTGATTCTTTTTTTTTTTTTTTTA